CCATTTGTATCCCCTTTATAGACGGTGAGTCTTGTGGAAACACAGATCCAGGTGGCTCCGGGTCCGCTATCGCCTGCGCCAGCCCAACGACACTACAAGCTGTTTACATGTGAATTGCAAGTTTGGTGCTTGGCAACTGCAGGACAACACACAGCGTTTACGAGTATAGTGGTCTAAATCACGGATCACGGCACGCCTGCAAATAAGAGCATGTCTTCGCTGATGTAGTCAGATACAGCCAATTGATTATCAATTAAATTCGGCATCGCCGACCGCCAATATCGGCACGCTAAAGGCAGCTAGGTTGGCGAGCGTAATCGACAGCGGGATGAGGCTGGTGTGACCAGCTGGGCACGTCACTACCGGGACCGCAAAGAGGTGTCGGATGCTGCAGCGAATGATGCAATGGATAGCAGGCACTCACAGCAATACAGCGCTATTTCGGACAGAAACATCCTGGACATGGTCGAGCCCCATTTACGAAACGAAATTGCACACTGGCTAGACAATGCGTCCATACAGACGCAAGACTTGGTGCATCATCGGACTCAGCCGCCAAGGACATTCGATTAATTTGCGTGCGCTCAATTCGACCAGATGTAATAACGTTAGGCGCGTAACGGTCTCAAGTCACGCTAGTATGTAAACTCATTGCCGAGCAAGTCCAGTCGCACAGCTTAAGCGCGGATATTGTATTAACATTTGAAACGAAACAAAAGAGCTTAAAACGGATGCCCTATTACTATGTGGACTGGCTGGCTACTTGCCGAGCGGCACTCTCACAGTATGGCACCAAGGCACAGTAGGCGATCGTCAGATTGCTACTGCGAAATGAAACTTGTCGCTGCCTGTGCGTCGCCCATTTGTTATCCTGTCACGGTACCATGCCATCTGACGAAGTGCGGTGGTGACTGAGACATAAACCTTCTCGTAGATTGTCAAGCATCAACTGGCGTTCACTTGTCCACGATAATGGCCATTTCCAGCATTGTATCCTGCATGCAAGAGCTATCTGGGATACAGAGACTTCGTCGGCAGCCTACAGCGTGAACACTTTACTTACCCATGCCAACCAAATGTGAGTCGGATAATCGTGTCGTCCTGAGTGGACCAATTTAATGCAGAGGTCTACGTCTCTCATGCGCATGTCGCAATTTGGCACACAAAATATTGATTCAATAGCGATTGCAGCATCTGGACGAACGCCAATCCTCGTGACGCCGCCACAACACCGTATGGTATCGTGGATCACGTTCCAGACCAGATATCCTCGACAAATCCAATACCAGCCGTGGAATAAGCCACTTCGTCTAATTGTGAGAGTGTCGTCCATCGTCCGGCAAGACTCCAGCTACTTGCGACCAAATAACTTTGTGTTTGTATCGACACCAGCACTCGTGTGCATGTCGGTTCTGTACCTGATAGACTCTTGTCGTCACGCCGCAGCGCAAAACATGAGAAGGTCTGCGTCTCTGTGCCCCTGCACTCCAGCAGAGATGAGAAGTGGCAAAAGAAACGATGGGTGTTCATCTTGCCAGTCTTCCGGGCGTTTTCTCAACCCACCTGTCCATATTGGTGCCAGTACCGCCGCTCAACCATTTCCTTGATCATTGTTCAATTCGCTCATCGCCACACACTCACCTCTCACTCGACCAAGTAAACAGCACCATGGTCTTCTCGTCGAAGATCTTCTGCATGGCGATGTTCGCATCGGGTTACATCGCAGCCCCCACTGCCGCTGACGGCAAAGCACAGAAGCTCCCGTGGAGCGGCCGCGCATTCGACCTCACCGATGCCACGCTTGAGGAGAAGTACTGGACGCACATTCTCACGATGCGCAACCACAGTAACGGCCAGCCCTCTGACTACGTTACGGTCAAGCAAGAAGGCCGCTCGCCTCCTTACAATGGCGACGCAGGCGTCATCACCATTGGAGTGGACAAGGATGCCATCTTCAAGGCCCAGACCAACTTCCGTCGGTCGGAACTCGTGCAGAACGTCAGTGCCAACCTAGAAGGCACGACGTTCTTCCGAACGAGTATGATGAAAGAGGAGGCGTTTCGGAACCCGTACGCCTGGCAGGTGATCTTCCCCGAGTCGCACCTTTTTGAGATCCGCGTGGACGCGAGCAAGAGCCCTGCGAAGCTCATCTACCTCAACAACGGTACGTGGGACCCCAAGTGGGAGACTGACTTTGTCCCTGGCACGTGGTACAACTTTGGCGTTGCCATCAAGGCCGCACCCTTTGGTAAGAACGTCAGGGTGGACTTTTACACGAGCGAGGGTGACGAGGACCTGGTTCTCGAGACTAAGCACGAATTTTCGAGTGAGTTGCCGTTGTGGTACGAGTTCCACATTGGCCTTCTGACTCTCTCGGACGATGGGAGTGCGCCCAAGATGGACGCGAAGCAGGACATCATGTCGTTCAATGGCGTGTCAGTGGAACCGAAGGTGAAGAGGGGTGCTAAATCCTCGATTACTGCTGACGAGGACAACGTCGTGCAGAACAAGGACGGCTACATCACCTTCAAGTAATCGGGCATGGTGAACACGATGGTGACATTACCTTGAAGTGGGTAATAGGTAGTAGTGCGTAAGCTGTTCTTTTTCAACCATAGGAAGGCACACTGTATGTTGGTGACCTTAGCTGCGCAGGTACTACTAAGAACCTGAACTAGTCATTGATTTTTCAGTACTTCTATCGCGTTTACAACGGTGCTGCAAGAAAAGTTTCGACATCGCAGTGACGCGCTGACTCGCATGAGCCTTCAAATAACGTAAATTCTCAATTTAGCGCGCTGAAACAAACGATTTAACAATATGACACAAAAATACGTAAAAACAGCAGGCATGAATTTGGGCATGTCTCCGATCACAACTTTCGCCGACAGTCTAATGCACTTTTTCCAGGATTTTTGTGATTTTTGGTTTCAAATTCAGCTCATTCAGAAATTCAAATATTACCGTCAACTAGTCTAGTGCGCTAGACAAACTTAATTTTACTACTGGTCGGGTTATCTGGCTTCTTTTAACAACATCCCTAGCCCGTAAAGCTGCAATTCTTGTCAAAATGAATAATGTGAAAGTATGATTAAATGCTAAAGGTAACGATATTCAGTTTTTAAATGGAGTAACAACGAATGGAATGGGTTGCAAGCAAAATGCATCTTATGTATGCTAAATTTGGGGCTATTGACGACCGCTCTACTATACCTCCTGTGCACATCTCAAGCTGTAGCAGACAAAAATTCAAAGTCACCCTCGCATCTGAACTTTGAGCCGTCACTTGCTCCAGTACTTGAGAATCTAGTCATTTAACATTGACAGATGTGTTGTGACCAGCAGGCGGTTTTTATATACTGCTTATCACTAAACAAATTAACTTGCATCTAAGTCTCTAATTCGACTACCTACCATTTCCGATGTCTTGCTCACCATTTTATCTACACGCAGCATCGCCATCCAACCATGCACGCTTCCCTATTCTGCCCAAAACCTACCTGTAATTGCACAGGCGAGCAAAGAAATCTAATTTTGCGATAGCGTACCTCCTCTTCAGCATGTTATCGTCAACACTCCTCCTCGCGGTCGCATAACTTACACCTTTAAATAGTGCAAACCCACTAAAGACAGCAATTTTACTAGCTTGTGTTGGCCTACCGCCTTTGCAAGTTGGTCAGCTAGCATAAGCTCGGAGTTAACGTAGCATGGTTCCAGTATTATACGACGAGCATAGTCCTTGGCAACTTGACCTGCTTATCGAAAATATTTGCCCTTTTAAACGAAGCCTCACCGTCAATCTGGCGAATGGCCACTTGATTGTACACAAGCACATCCATTGGTAGAGTCGGCGCCAGTCCCACTACCATTGACAGCTCTCGAATTTCGAGGAGCTTGCGAGTCGTCTCTGGCGCTGCTACAAATAAGCTCTCCGTCGCTAAGTGAAAAAAAGTCTCCTTAATTCTTCGCAGACCAGATAGCGGACTCTCCGTTGAGCAGCACAATTTCTCCAGTTGGAGACTTTCTGCGGCTGTAACGGGGTGAACCGTTACATAACAATTTATAAGAAATTGTTAATAGAATATAACTATAAGAGTTATATTCTCAGAATATTGTCATAAGGACAACTGTTCTGCAGCACTTACGAGTAGTTCCTAACTGGTTGATTTAGGCCATTATATCAACCAACGAAGACGCGCTACGGCAGACGCACGCAATGAGTGGTGAGGAGATAGTTGACATGCACATTTGTATTCAGACATAGTTAGATGAGGATAAACAGTGGTTTATTAACAGACATTAACTATGACAAGTACAGTTCTACTTTTTACGTTAACCAAGTACTCGCTTCTTCTTACCGTCTTCCTCTGCACGTACGAGTGTACGTGAAGTTCCGAGGCACCGCCTTATTCTGTCGTCAGAATAAGTAGCTTGTACTGTCACCAGTACAAGCTTCAGGGTGCCCCGTTACACCTGGTAGCACTTGTTGGTCCGTCCAAGGACCACGTTCACATCTAACATGAATACGTTAGATGATGAAGATGACCAAACCTTTACGCTACGCGTGACGGCTGCTCTCATTTGAGCGATGTCGAATGGGATGCGGTTGAACGGATGGGTTCAATCATGGACATCCATGCCGTTAGCGTCATGCTAGAGGCTCTCAATATAGATGCCCAACATGCTACTATTGCCAAGTTCATTCAAAATGAACTTGACGCTGGACGCGAGAAAGTAGCCTTGCTTAACCAACAAGGTTCTCAACAAGCAGAGTTGTTGAGAGAACAAGGTGCTCAACAGTTTGAACTGTTGTGACAGCAGCAGTCTGCTGCTCTGGGTCGATGCACTCGCGTCGACCCGAGACCTTGAAGATTGACATCTCCAAGTATAGGGGAGTCGAAGAGGACTCCCTCTTGAGATGATTCGTCGAATTAGACGACGCCATAAGGGCGCGTCTCATCGATGACGGGGATATGCAAGTTGCATTTGCCCAATCAAATATGGCAGGACGTGCCAAGACTTGGGCACTGGGGCTCAAGTTGCACGACCCATATGCGTTTGGGTCGTTGGAAGTCTTCAAGTCGCGGCTCAGACAAACGTTTGAACCGCCTAGAGCTGAGTTCAGGGCTCGAACCGAACTCTTGAAGCTCAAGCAGGGTAAGCGTGATGTGCACGCTTACGCTCAACATATACGACATCTCACGAGTTGTATAAGTTCCAACCCGGTTGATGAACACACGTTGGTTTCGGTGTTCATGCAGGGTCTTGCGGATGGTCCCGTCAAGACTCACCTGTTCCGGCTTGAACTAGATTCACTAGAACAAGCCATTTCCATTGCGGAGCAGGAAGACTTCAGTCTGAGACAGGCTCGCGCCAGCTCGACATCATATCGTCAACCGAGACGATATGACAACGGAGGTCCAGAGCCGATGGAACTCTGTTATGTAGAGAGCGAGAAGGCTCGCTCTACAGACTACAAGAAGTTGCAGAGATGCAACAGATGTCAAAAGACAGGACACTACGCTTACGAGTGTAGTGCCCCTCTTCCAGTGTCTCGCGACACTGGGCGTAGTGAACGTCCACCCATGAGAAAGGGACAGGGACGAGGGTCCGCTGTTGGTGCAAAGACGCAACAACGGGATGGGCCGTCAAAAAACGGACAGGATCAGTAGGTGCGGAACACCCTACTGGTCCAGCAACGTCAAGAGAATTCGTGGGTCTCTTGATGAAGGTTGCTCCTAACACACAAACGTTGTGTGTTGCTGCTCTAGGTAATGAGATCTCACTCATTACCTTGAAACTCGAAGCGACAAAAAAGTTGTCCCTTCGAGCTCTAGTCGATTGTGGGGCGTCCAACAATTTTGTGCGACGCCAATCGCTAGAAGATGGTCATTTTAAGTTCAGTGAATGTGACACACCTCCTACGAGTATGACGGTACGTCTTGCGACAGGCGCATCCGTAACCGTCATGAAGCGTATAGTGAAGATCCACTATACGCTAGAAGATACCCAATATGACGATGACTTTATCGTATTGGATTTGGATGAAAAATTTGATGTCATCCTTGGAATACCGTGGCTCAGAAGGTACGAACTACGGGTAAACTGGCAACCTCGAACAGTAACGATGCCTGCCGCTTGTTCATCAGATGGCCATCTGATGAACGTTTTGGAGCGTCCACAAGCGTGTGGATGTACTACGAGTGAGTGCGATGGCCTCACTTGTGGTACGGTCGTTAGTACGACTGCACAAAACCTTAGTGTACCAAACGGTTACACTTCGGAGCAAAGTTCCGGCGGCTGTGAGGAAACACAGGCTGCGCCGAAGGTCCACCACTCGAATAAGTCGGGTGGACCGGGATAAAGATGTATCCCTTGCGGGGTACATCTAGAAGAGAAACAATCGATCGCTCAGGTTAAGCGAAACGATAATCCTAGATCGACTGGAGGTCCTTTCGTAGAGGATCTCGCTGTGGTTGCGCAACCCCAGCTAGAGGAAGTAAAGGGAATAGGTCCCAAGATTACAAATACGGCGGAAATAAGTTCCCCAAAACCCGCGGGAATAAGTCCCCGGGAAGCCGAAGGAATAAGTCCTTCGAAGCCTGAGGGGATAAGTCCCCAGGAAATGACAGAGACATTGAATGTCACAGTCAACAACGGATCAAGTGTAGGCGCTTATACACTTGATCTGATTGCGCCTCCGAAGTTGACTTCGGAGATCACACAGTTGCCAAAGCTCGAACAGAAAAGGTTCTTGCGTGATCTGCGTAGTGGCAAAGTCAAGCAGATCTGCATACTCGTCGCTGACGACGAGTGTGTAACCGACATAAGGTCAGCAATAATGTTTACTGAGAAAGAAAGATTTCTCAGTAGTTCATCTATGGACGAGAGCGTCCTCGATGAAAAGACACGAATTGAGCGATATGACTCCCAATCATGGGAATCGCTCAAGACAAATCCTCTCTATGGAAATCTGGTTAAACTCAAGGCTGTATTCCCTGAAACTGTTCCGTGCGAATTACCGAAGGATAAAGGTATTCGACACGAGATCGAGCTTAAACCAGGCTCGAAGTACTGTGTCATGAAGCAGTAGCCACTGCCTCGTGAACAAGTACTTGCATACGACAAGTTCTTTGCCGATCGTTTAGCAGCGGGCCATGTGAGGGAATCAACTTCCCCACATAGCTCTCCGACCTTCTGTGTGCGAAAAGCAACAGGAGGGTGGCGGATAGTGCATGCAATTAACAAATTGAACGCTGCAACGGTACCGGCTCAGACGCCGATACCGAGGAAGGATGTAATCATTGATGGTATGTCAAAGAGTACCATCTTTTCGTCCATGGATTTGATGGATGGCTTCTATCTAATCCTTATGCGAGAACGGGATATACCCTATACCGCAGTTAGCACGCCTAGCGGCATGCTCTGGGAATGGCTAGTAACGCCACAAGGGCTCAGTAATGCCCCTGCCACGTTCAACAGATGTGTATCACATCTGTTGAGACCAGTACGAGAATTCGCGCCGAGTTATTTCGATGACGTATTCATCCATAGTCGAGCTATGGATAGAAAGTCGGACGTTGAGGTTCACAGGTAGCACGTCCGACAGGTTCTTACAATCATGCGAAAGCATCATTTGTATGCTAACCTCAAGAAGTGTATATTTGCAGCAAGCGAAATACCACTTCTTGGGTGCATCGTTGGTAAGAACGGTGTGCGTCCTGATCCCGAAAAGATCAAGGCGATCACCGACTGGCCTGTGCCGGTCGATGTCAAAGGTCTTCGAAAATTCCCTGGGCTAGTGTCGTATTTGCATAAGTATTCACGCAATTACGCCGAGATGACTGTGCAACTCTCTCGTTTGTTGAAAAAGAACGAGAGGTGGTTATGAAACGCTGAATGTCAGCTCTCCTTTAATGGTATCAAGCAGAGCTTGATACAATCCCCAGTCCTAGCAATTGCCGATCAGGACAGGCCATTTCATGTGGTCTGTGATGCCAGCGATTTCGCAATCGGCTGTGCATGATGCAGTACGATCTTGAAGGCGTTGAACGCGTCGTCTGCTATCAGTCGCGTCAGATGCAACCAGCTGAGCGGATCTATCCAGTGCATGACAAGGAACTCCTTGCCATGAAGTATGCACTCGCGAAGTTCAGAGTCTATCTATTAGGAGATAGACACTTCATTGTTTACACTGACCATGCGTCATTAAGCACGGCAGTGAACAGCCCGCACCTTTCACAACGAATGGCGCGGTGGTTGTCATTCTTTGCAGTATACAACTTTACGGTATAGTTTAACCCAGGACGACTTAATGTCGTCGCTGATGCACTCTCACGTCGTCCCGACTTTGAACCAGTCGCGAAACCCAACAGTGAGACAGCCACTGTTGCGGTTATGACGTCCACCATACCATCTTTAACGTTACATGATGATGTGAGGCGGGCATACGCCCAAGGTGGTGAGATTGTGAAGTTGTTGACACATCTCTCACAACCATCTCGAGAATCGTTGAAACGATTGTTGTCTGCGTATCGATCTGCATCAGATCGAGACACTACTCGCAACGGTTTACTGTTTTATACATCCGTTACTGGTGCTACACCACGTGTTGTCATCCCAGAGGATACTGGTCTGCGTTTGCGGATCATGTTCGAGTATTACGATGCTCCTATAGGAGGATATCGTGGCCGGGAGAAAACATATTTCCCGGTGAGTCGAGACTTTTACTGGCCCCGCCAGTATCAATTTGTGCGAAAGTTTGCTCGCGCATGCGAAGTCTGTCAACGAGTGACGTCAAGTCCTTCACTGCGTGCACCTTTAAAGCCTCTACCGGTTCCGGCTGAGTGCTAGGAATCCATCTCAATGGATTTCGTCTTCGGGTTACCCAAAGACGCACGCGGGAATACGGGTATTCTCGTATTTGTTGACAGATTCAGCAAAATGGTACACCTAGTGGCTGTACCAGAGTCAATCATGGCAAGTGGCTGTGCTTGTGTCTTTATTGACACCATCTTCTGACTTCATGGGTTGCCCCGTGAACTCGTATCAGACAGAGATCCACGATTCACTGCTGATTTCTGGCGTTCCGTGTTCAAATCACTCGGAACGCGCTTGAAGATGTCGACATCCGATCATCCAGAGTCAGATGGTCAGACGGAACGTGCCAACCGTGTCCTCGAAGAGATACTTCGAGGATACGTACATTCCTTTAAGAGTTGGAGTGAGTTTTTGCCAATGGTAGAGTTTGCCATCAACAACTCGGTGCATGCGTTCACGACACATACACCGTTTTACGTGAATGGCTTGCGCCATCCGCGTGTACCCACCTTACTAGAGTGTAACTCTGGTTCAAGGGGGGAGGGACTCGCGCAAGCAAAAAACGATTTGGTTCAAGATCATCACGCTCTGACGAAGAGGTCATTGCATTTAATGCCGATATCGATAATATCGATATCGAAGAATATGATGCCAGTGAGAGTGCGGAAGCCCTCACTGAAGACAATGATCCCAGTGGGAGTGCGGAAGCCCTCACTGAAGAAAAGGTTGTTGTTGCTGCAGTGCGCTCACAGCACACTGAAGCTAACGAGTCATCAGATGAGTTCATACTGGCTCGTGAAACGGTAGTCCGTTTTGTGCAAAACTCCATCGCCGAAGCGGTGGATTAGCAAAAGAAAAACGCAGACAAGAATGGAAGGGCAAACACTCGTTTATTTAATAAAGGTGACTTAGTCCTACTGTCTACGGTTAATCTACCAAAGCATGTAGTGACTAACTTGGGTAGCAGTAAACTACTACCCAAGTACATCGGCCCATTTCGTGTATTGCACCGCCTAGGCAATGCATACACGATCGAGTTACCACGTAAGATGCGAACGCATCCCACGTTTTACGTTGGTCGGCTTAAGCCGTACCATCAGTACGCTGCTTCTTTCGATGAAGAACGCCCTTGCGCTCAAGCATCTCACAGAGGGCCTTGAGCTAACGATGGTGGAAATCAACAAGGGTCTGAAGAGCAGATATCTCAGCCCGAGACCGATCAACATTCCCACAAGTTACCCTTATCTCATCACGCAGAGACATCAGAGCTCTCTCATTCTCAAGCTGAGCAAAAGCACACTCAGCTCGATGCTTCAAGGCAGTGTCCGCCATTTGGAGACGCCTGTCCAGCCCATGCTCGAGGTCGTCGCGTAACGCAAGAGTTACGCGATCAAAGAAGCTCTCGGGGACACGTGCTCCCCCACGATAGTTTAAAGATCGCCTCCAATCCTCCTCCTCCTTTGGAGAACTCTCGCGGTGGCCAGCGCTATCTGGTTGAGCGGCTGTTGAGCCACCGCGATGTGAACGGACGTCGGACGAGTTACCTCGTCCGGTGGCGCGGTTATCCCCCGTCCTGGGATACTTGGGAGCCCCGCTCCCAACTGATGATTGACGTACTCGGTCTGGTCGAGCAGTACGACGCGGCACATCCTGTGCTGCACAAGGACCGCCGGAGAAACTCTTCATGTCACGGTCGTAAAGGGATTTTAGGTTGTCAATCCCTTCGTACATCTCAGTAGAGACACGTACGCGCCACCACGGGCTGGTAAGGAGGTAAGCCTCCTTAGGTGCGCGCGCAGAGTTGTTCGCACAACATGGGCACGAGTCTCCCCAGGAGAGACAGGGTAACCCACTCTACCTAGACAGACGATGCAGCTTGTAGCGTGCACCTGTCGGGGTTCGCTTTTCAAACTTATCACGAGCTTTGATAAGTTTGTCGTTCCAAACGTCACGACCTACATCCTCAAGGTTATGGATGTAGGCGTTCCACGCTTGAAGCAGTGAGGGACCATCACGTTTGTGATTCCCACTGTACCATCGATGTTTAAAGAAAGCATCGATGAAGAATTCATTCTCAGTGCGATAGTTTTTCGCACTGGGGTCAAGGTGATGGATCCTTGACGAATCGAACAACCGTGTTCGATAACGATCACTCGTCGTCGCCGACAAGTGATCCATGACGGATTTTGGAGGCATCCATGCCTTCTTCTCGGGAGCGAGACGCAACACACTGCGGTCCCGCTCTTCTTGCGACGTGCCGACAGAAGGACTGGCACCTCGTTACGAATTAGTGTCAATAGAATACCGACACCACTGTTAGCGCCCGAGTCTTGCGATCTCGAGCGCCTTCACTTTGGCGATGGTTCATCTTATTCATCAGATGAACCAAAGATGCTGCGACGCGTAGTATCATCCATGCCACGCTTGGCAGGCGGCTTGGTTTCAACCGCCGTCGATACGGATCCGTCTTCTGTATCAGGAGAGTATGAGACAACGAGCTTATACTCTGTGAAGACATGAGTGTCTTCAGGACTAGCATCTGCATCACCAGGTGATACAGACTGAGACGCTATAGCAACCAATGGCACATCGGTTGCAGCGATTTCTGCTTCGGCGTCCGCACAGAGACGTGTGGACGCGCTCTCGGCGGCCTTGCTCGCGCATCGCATGGGCTTGTTAACCATGCGATGAATTCTTGGAAAGCGGACTCGGACCAACAAGTGCAAAACCTGTCCCAAATGATTTGGGACGAGTACCTAATAAGTCAATCAGTCACTAAAGTGACTGATAGTTAAGAGGGGGGGTGATGTAACGGGGTGAATCGTTACATAACAATTTATAAGAAATTGTTAATAGAATATAACTATAAGAGTTATATTCTCAGAATATTGTCATAAGGACAACTATTCTGCAGCACTTACGAGTAGTTCCTAACTGGTTGATTTAGGCCATTATATCAACCAACGAAGACGCGCTACGGCAGACGCACGCAATGAGTGGTGAGGAGATAGTTGACATGCGCATTTGTATTCAGACATAGTTAGATGAGGATAAACAGTGGTTTATTAACAGACATTAACTATGACAAGTACAGTTCTACTTTTTACTTTAACCAAGTACTCGCTTCTTCTTACCGTCTTCCTCTGCACGTACGAGTGTACGTGAAGTTCCGAGGCACCGCCTTATTCTGTCATCAGAATAAGTAGCTTGTACTGTCACCAGTACAAGCTTCAGGGTGCCTCGTTACACAAGAGGTATGGTGCGCAGTCAGCAGTGCGACCCGCTGACCCATAACAATCCTAAAAAAACGGCTCTCCACCCGCAGTACGCACCTGGAAATCTAGCTGATGCTGTCGACGGAGTATGCGCAGGTGTATCACCTACCAAAGTGGCGTCACTAGTTCGCATCTCCCTGTGTACGTTAGATAATCAATAAAAGATCTGGGAAACGAAGGCGATCCAGAACAAGCACGCTGAGGGCTTTCCACCAATGCTGAAGGATATAGAAAAAGCGCATATGTGTGAGTGGATTACGGAATGCACTTCAACGGCACGCCTGCAACCGTCCCGACGTGCTGCACAGAGCTAGGGCGGTGGCGTCACGTCTTCAGTGTGAATAGATCACTGTGATGGACAGATAATACTCGCGTTTTATAAGAAGGAGCCTTAACTGGAGAACAGGGAGGCACAGATGATCACTAGGTTTCACAGCGAGAGCTCCATGGACCGCCTCTCTATACTTTTTGGCTATCTTTCTAAGATCTTCGCGATCCGTCGATTCGATGCAATAAGAGTGTAAAACATGGATGAGACAAGATTTTTTCCTAAACAAAGCAAGAAAAGTGGTTGCTTTAAACAGGTCACAAATACATTGGTTTACAAGCATTTGTGCAAACTTTCACTTGTCTGTGGTGGCTTTTGGAAGTGCTATATAGGGTACGTAATTATACTACTATTTATCCTAACTATTCAGTGAGTTCCTCGCAATCTCATAGATTGTTGCCATGTTGCTGATGCTCGTGTCATTTGCACTGGTAGAAAATCCATAAACGGACCTTTTTTCGGAAATGGGTGGAAGTCTTTTCGAGCATTTTTAATACTGGGCCCGTCCGATTTTGTTACTAATGAAAAGGTACCTATCGCACGCGTCTGTCGATCCGGTCAAAATGGAGGAACCGCTTGGTAGTCAGTTCGTGTGTTTTCCTGCCAATGTAACCATCCTTGTAAAAACACTCGACATCTTCGTGTTATCGTCTTTTAAGAATACGATCTAAAATTAGTTTGTACGCACGTTATGGATCCCGGTGAAATTGTTGATAAAACTCACCGCTATTTTTCCTGCCCACTAACTACTAATATTGTGATTTTCTACATTGCAATAGTGTAAGCAAGAAATAGGCTGTCCAGTTGGAAAGTGTAGCATGGACTCAGTAGCTTTTAAAGAAAAATTACACGGCTAATTTCTCGCCACTGGCCAATTTGTATTGACACTCTCGAGCACGACATAGCCTTCTTAGCCTTTTATGTTAGTCAAGCTAAGCGCAGTAGCAACTAGATGGAGTGAATTGTCTAAAGGTCGTCTGTGAAATTGAGATCTTGACATCAACTGTCAAGCAGTAATCCCTACCCGTCATGAAGCACAAGACTGTTGATGTCTCGGGGCGACTAATCGCCTGCGAACAAAATTAAGAACAAATCATAGATGTACGCAAAGTCTACTGCAGGAAACTAGCGCAGTTAAGCAGGATGATCTAGTGGTAACAATTTGTTTGTGAGGATCGCTATCCCGCTTTTATAAAAAGATAGTTGCTTTTTATACATTTTACAATGAAACAACTTCCATTTCTCTGTATGATGATGCAGAATAATGGTGAGGGCCTCAACTTTTTCAACACCGACTAAAGCTCGGTTGACTCTATTTTGAAGCACAGTATAACTGTGCTTCACAGTTTAAATGCAAAAATAACTCCACACTACTTTGGAATCGGCTATGCCGCAGGTATAAAAAGTGCTTTATAGCACTCTCTATTGGTACCCGCACACGAAAGCACTCACAAAAAGCTTGTTGGTGTTAGTACAAATGCCAGGCTGCTCGCTACAGTTAGCAAAACATTACGTCTAGTCGTGCCGCATTATTTCTGCGCGTCTTGTCTCAAGTCTTCTTTTTAAATGCTTGCAATGTTGCGCAGTCCTCTTTTTTCTCTCACCATGATCTTACTCCCAAATGGTTCAACTCTTACACGCGGTTTCCAATAATGTTACAATATGATGAAGAGTATGCCTGAGCTTTTTCGAGAGATGGTCATCAGGTCTGAATCAAAAAGCGAAGACCGGGGAAAATATTTGTGGACACGGAGAGCGCACAAAAACCAAGAGCACACAAATCGGCAATAGATGTGGCAAGACTCAAAACAACCTCTAGACAATAAATTAACAGCCATCACTTGTCATGCCGATTCATGCAAAAAGTTGCCGTGACACATCTATCCACGCTCTACCATGAAAAAGGTGGTCACCATTGTGAACAAGAACAAGCGTACAATTCAGTCGCATATTATCAAGAACCTTCATGGTGTCTTTCGGTTCGGCAAAATGATCCAGCTGCTAGATCAACCCGGTTCAGGCAAGGAGTCACTACTGAAAATAAAAAACAAGCAAACATTATGTGTGGACGCTTTTCCTTGTTAAGAACGTGCAAAGTCGTGCCAAATTATTTTTTTGTTGGTGAATCAAAGCGCGTTTAAACAGGTGGTATTGAATCTGGTTTGACATCGATGACGCTGATTGATGATGTTAGTACGAGTTTAGACAGCGCAGCCACATTGCTATCATAAAACAACAGCGGAAAATTGACAAGACGCTTCGGGAAACTATCGACCTTTCTCTTCATGAGCCTGCTGCTGAAGTCTTTGTCTCTTCGACGAATACTTGCTATTGTAGCTCTTGCTTGTTAGGGCTTGACACTTTATGGTAAAATGAGCATTGCGAGGTCTTTTGTCTGCTTATCAAAAACTGATGCGTCGCCACCTGGTCAAGTGTCGGACTTTGATCTCAATCAATGGCCAGCATCTTTTCGAGCAAGTCGCATGTCACGTCCGTGCGCTTGCGCGGAAACATCCGATAGATGTCAAACCACGCATGGCATCGCGGATGAATTGACGAGCAGTAGGGAGGGGATGTACTGCTATGCGCTTGCCGAGGGTCTGGTGGTTCACCTATGCATGCAGATAATGACCGGTGCGTTTATGGACTGAAAAAGATCGCCCAAGTAGGCTGCAGCATGAGATCGATCAAGTTCCAACTTAGGCAGAATGATAGGGAGCGCAAGAGGTACCACCAGCGCCTGCGCCGTATTCTGGCATCGAATATGCGGCGACACAAATATGCACGCGTCTTATGGGTCTGGACGCGCAGCGAGCAACGTGTGTTCCAGAAGAGCAAAAACGAAGATTGAAGATTTTCGAGTTCAAGGGTTAGCAACCCTATTAAGGCTTGAGATCTGCTTCCTGGACTGGGGATGGACGTTCATACGTTAGTACGCATATGCAGCATGTGGCTTCGACTGTTCCGAATTCGTGTAGACTGACCTTCTTGGCCACTACCTAAGTGGTAATACCGAGCACTAACACAAAAAGCAGATTCAGACATGGACTGCCAGAATCCGACGCTTGCGTGCGTCATAAATCGGCTTTCTTAGACGTATGAGATGACTATCAGTGCGTTAAAGTCGA